CTCCAAACGACGGCGTCTTGGGACTTCATGGGGCTAAAGGGAGGAAAGAATACAAAGCGTAACTTAGCAATAGAGAGTGATATGATTGTTGGAGTCATCGACAGTGGGATTTGGCCAGAATCCGAGAGCTTCTCTGATAAAGGCTTTGGTCCTCCTCCTAAGAAATGGAAAGGTGTTTGCTCCGGCGGCGAAAACTTCACATGCAACAAGTAATTCTCTTAATTTTTCTAACAGAAGATTAGTAGTGTAGGCAGAGATTGATGTGTTTACAATATTTCAGCAAGTTGATTGGAGCAAGAGACTACACAAGCGAAGGCACTAGGGATAGCATAGGCCACGGTTCACACACAGCATCCACAGCGGCTGGAAATGCAGTTGAGAACACAAGTTACTATGGAATCGGTAATGGAACTGCGAGAGGCGGCGTTCCAGCCTCAAGAATCGCAGCTTACAAAGCATGTGGCGAGACAGGGTGTAGCGATGAATCTATACTATCGGCGTTCGATGATGCGATAGCAGACGGTGTTGACCTCATCAGCATCTCTATCGGGGAACGCTTTGTCCACAAATACGAAAAGGACCCAATGGCGATTGGGGCTTTTCACGCTATGGTCAAAGGGATTCTTACTGTGAACTCAGCCGGTAACGATGGTCCGGATCCGGGCTCAGTCATAAGTGTAGCACCGTGGATCTTGACAGTTGCAGCGAGCACCACCAACCGTGGGTTTGTCACCAAAGTTGTACTCGGAAACGGGAAGACACTTGTCGTAAGTATCAAGTAACACTCACATTTCTATCATCATAGTATCTTTGTCCCTCTCAGTGACAAATGATTCTCTTGTTTTTTGTCTAAACAGGGGAAATCATTGAACGCTTTTGATTTGAAAGGAAAGAATTATCCTCTTGTGTATGGAACTCTTCTTAAAGAACCTCTGCTTAGGGGAAAAATCTTGGTGAGTAAATATCAACTTAGTTCAAACATAGCTGTTGGAACCATAAATCTTGGTGACCAAGACTATGCCTCCGTTAGCCCTCAGCCCTCCTCTGCCCTGTCACAAGATGACTTTGACTCTGTCGTCTCTTACGTTAACTCCACAAAGTAACGAACGATCTTCTCTATTATTCATTTGGTCTAGATCCCCTACTTTGTCTTGATATCTCTGTGTTTGTATTCTCAGGTCCCCGCAAGCAACTGTTCTAAAAAGTAAAGCAATCTTTAATCAGAAAGCTCCTAAAGTTGCTTCCTTCTCTTCTCGCGGTCCAAATACTATTGCGGTTGATATTCTAAAGGTAAAACATTTTTGTGCTCTTGATTATTTATTTTATTTCCTGGCCTGAGAGACAATGGTTGGTGGTGTGTATTGCAGCCAGATGTAACAGCACCAGGAGTGGAGATTCTCGCTGCGTATTCACCTTTGAATTCACCATCTGAGGTATGGTTTGATAAAAGACATGTGAAGTACTCTGTTCTGTCCGGAACTTCGATGGCTTGTCCACACGTTGCAGGCGTGGCTGCGTACATCAAGACTTTTCATCCTGAATGGTCTCCTTCCATGATCCAATCTGCCATCATGACAACTGGTAAACAAGTCATATACATCTTTAACTTTCTTGTCTTGCAAAACTCATATCCAACTTTTACTATCTTGTCTTGCAAATAACTTTGTTGGCAACTCTGTTCATAAACAGTTTATTAATTAATCTTTGCAGCTTGGCGGATGAATGCTACCGGAACCGGGGTTGCATCAACCGAGTTTTCTTATGGAGCAGGACATGTTGACCCAATAGCCGCTCTTAATCCCGGACTCGTCTATGAATTAGACAAAGCAGACCACATCGCCTTTCTTTGCGGTTTGAACTACTCTTCAAAAACTCTTCAGCTCATCGCCGGTGAAGCCATCACTTGCACTGGAAAGAGCTTACCAAGAAACCTCAACTATCCTTCAATGTCGGCTAAACTTTCGGAATCTAATAGCTCCTTCACTGTGACATTCAACAGAACCGTGACCAACCTCGGTACCCCAAACTCAACATACAAATCAAAGATTGTCATAAATCACGGATCTAAACTCAAAGTCAAGGTCTCCCCAAGTGTTCTATCTATGAAGTCCGTGAAGGAGAAGCAGTCTTTCACAGTGACTGTTTCAGGCAGCAATCTCAACACAAATCTGCCTTCATCTGCAAATCTAATATGGTCTGATGGAAAACATAACGTGAGAAGCCCCATTGTTGTTTATACTTATAGTGGTTAATGACTGATAAAGCATTATCACTTCACCATAATTATCAATCATCATATAATAAAAATCAATATTGTTGTTGTTGTTGTTGAGTTTCTTTGTTCAAGAATAGTGTTTCAATCTTATTTCACAGTTTCAGAGAGCTCTGCATCTATTTGAATTTAAAACTCATTCATATATCCTAAACACACAAAATTCAATTCAAGCATTCTCATTATAACAATCAAGAATCCTGTTAGATTTAAATTCTAGGTTAAAATTTTGATAGAGCTAGCAGAAAACTAGCTCAGCGAATTGAAACAATAAAAATCAAAGAAAAATTGCAAAGCTAGGGATGATGCTACCCGGAGAATTTGGCCGAGAAGAAGCTTTCTCATGAAGAGGAAGACGGCGACAATGGAGATCTTGTACCGATCGATGGAGAGACGCGTGGATGCGGGTCCATGGTAAGATTCCAACACCGTCCGCACCAGATGTTTTACTCCCGCTTCTCTAATTATAGTTATTGAGTCAGATATGTTTACAAATGGACCCGTATCCAAACTAAATATGGCCATATTTTTTTTGGATATGAATGCATTCTGATGTGTGGGAGAAAGTCCTATGAATTTAGCTCATACACTTGTGTTTATATTAATTAATTGTTGATAATTCACAAGTGTTTATATTATTGTTAAAATTTGAACTAACACATAAATTCACTTAGTAAAATTCGATTAGCTCATACACTTGTCAAGTTTTTAGTTTACAAATTTTAACTATATAAATTTAAGTTGAAGCATGTTTTGGATATGATTAAGTATATTTTATTTGCAACAATTGAGCATTTCTTAAGCAAATTTTAAGTATATGAATAGTTTAATTGGTCAAAGTATTGCCTCTCGTCAATGCGGAAGTTGCGGGTTCGAGATCCATCAATCATGTCTTTGTCTAAGCCCCAAACCCGTAATTTCCGCCTTAACGGGAAAATGCTCTAACCAACTAAACTAATCATATGTTTAAAAATTGCTTAAAAATGATCAAATGTTGCAAATAAAATATACTTAATCATGACCAAATCATGTGCTTCAGAAATGTCGAATACTATTAATAACACTAATTTCCCGAACATTGCTAACTTTATGGGAACCACATTGACCAAAAACTGAATATACCA